AGCTACAATGATCTGACATAAGTCAGATCAGACCACTCTCCTGCTAAATCCCTCCAATAGCCTCTGTCACACTCAGAATGAAAGCACCCTCCTTCCTTCTCTGACCTCGTTTGTTCAATATCTCATCTCTTTATGTACCGGACTCCAGATGGCCTTCCTTTGGTGCTACAAGCAATGGTCCCATTTTCACCTTACATCCTTTTCCTGGACTGTTCCTTTGGAAGCATTAACAACCTAGCTCCTCTTAACCAAGTCTCAATTCAGACACCACCTTGCAAAAGTCTCCTCACTGACCGTTGTCTAAAGCATCCTTCTCCTTCCTGACAAGCTCTATCCTAGCATCTTATTGTCTCATTTTCTTCTTGGCTTTTATTATCATCAAAGTTCCTTTTATTTGTTTGTTTACTTATTATAAGTTTCCTCCAATGACGACAGTGTAAACTGGTGGCAGTACAACTGCCCCAGAGGTCTGCTTAGCATTTAGCAGGTGGTTAATAAATGTTTGTTGAAGTAACAAATTAAAGTATTTGAGAATGTCTCAATGTTTTCTATTGGAAATCTTTAACTCTTTCTATGCTGTTTTTTAAAAACTATTCTCCCTAGGTTATTTCACCCTCTTTTGTAGTTTATTATATAATTTTAATAACTCCCTACCAATCCAGCTCTTTGTTTCTGATAGGAGATGATAATCTCAAAGGTATTTTTAACCTTTATTTGTCCCCTGCTGTCTGGTTAATTTTGAGTTCTATAATCAAACACATCCTTTAAAGAAAATAGTTCTTTGAAAGTTTTGCGCAATGTGTTTTAATCATATTCACCCTTCTCTCAACTCCTCTCAAATCCACCCACCTATCTTAGTGTCCTTTATTTTAAAACCATCAAAACCAGTCTTTGCTGCTCACATATCCTTGGGTGTGTTTCTTCCACTGGAACATTGTCAGCATTACCAACGGCTATACTCATAGAAAAAGTTGTCTCTCCCTTTCCTTAAAAGCTAGCCATGACCATTAGCTCCACAGATTGGAGTAGGATTAGTGTCTACCTTCCATTTCCCTTGCTGAGATTTTGTCTAATTTGGGCTTGCACAGGTTTTGTACACACTGTTGCAAGCACTATCAGTTCATATGTACAGTTAGCCTGCTGTATCTAAAAGACAGTTTGCTTGTAGTAGTCTACCACCTCTGGCTCCTACATCTTTCCTCCACACCCAAGGCTTGGTGAAAGGAAGATGTGGTATATACGTTCCTTTTAAGGCTGAACAGTCTACAGTCTCTTATTCCTTGCATATTGGTCAGTTGTAGGTCTCTATTTGCAATAGATGGTGATTAACATAGATAAGGGTTGAGAGATGCATTGATCTATGAGCATAATGATATTATTTGGAATCAGTGTAATACTATATTTGTTTAACAGTATAATAGTATTAACCTCTTTTCTGGGGCTTATAATTTGTCTAAATGTAGGTTCTTGGTCTGATAATGGTGCCAAGTATGGGGTTTCATCTTGTGATGCAATCCAGTAGTGGTTGGTTACTCCTCTGATGCCACTGTACACCAGCTAGTGTGTCTTTCTAGACACAGGGGGTTCAACAAATCATAATTAAAGGCAATCTTAACATCTGCGTGTTAAGAGCCAAGAGGCAGGCATCTGTACTATAAAATACTAATACATTTTAATATATTATTTTCAGAAGGGATTTGTAGTTTATTCCAAATCCATGCCTTTACATGTTAATGAAGTTAAAGATAATGATTTTCATAACTCAAAGATAGCTTGTGATCATGTACATTCTTCTTCCTACATTATAATGTTTTACAAGTTTAGATACTGTTTCTCCTTTTGCTAATGAGATCGATAGATAGATGGATGGATAGATAGATAGATATTTAGAAAATGTTTAGATGTGGAAAAATAATTCCCATACCATAAAATTCACCCTTTTAAAATATGAAAGTCAGTAGATTCTGGTATATTCATAAAAATTTTAAATCATTGCCATTTTAATTTTTTTTTTTTTGGTTTTTCGAGGCAGGGTTTCTCTGTATTGTTTTGGAGGCCGTCCTGGAACTCACTCTGGAGACCAGGCTGGTCTCGAACTCACAGAGATCCTCCTGCCTCTGCCTCCCGAGTGCTGGGATTAAAGGCATGCGCCACCAACGCCCGGCGCCATTTTAATTTTAATACATATTCAAGACTCACAAAGAACCTCATACTCATTAGTAAGTCACTCCCTCTTGTCTCCCACCTTAAACTTCCCCCTCTTTTTTAACCCTGTGGAACTACTAATCAACTTTGCACCTCTATGCGTTTCCTAGAACATATTCTGGCTGTTTTAAATACATAGATTCATATAAATTCACATATTGTATTACCTTTTATATTGAGTCTCTTTCATTTAGCATAACGTTTTCAGAGCTCTCTGTGTTTTTGTTTTCTCCAGTATCCTTCTACAATATCTGTCTCTGGGAACAAAATTAAATTGTAAATACCCTGGAATTCAAAGGTTTAAAAAAGCCAGGGGAGGGGCAACATAATTAAACTCTTCAGCTTTAATTAATTATAAAGGAAGCAAAAACATTTATTACATACACACATATATTGTATTTTAAGGAATTATATCAAAACATAGTTTTCAACTTCACTATATGCTTTTTCTTCTAATCAGTTAAGATGTTTCTCTTGGTCTCCTAGGTTATGCTTTCTAATTCCCTTTGGGATGAGAATTCTGAGCTGTGTTAAAAAGAGTGAGAGAATTGCTTCTCATTAAACAAGATGTCAGACCTGGTGTCCCTTTTTTTTCAGTGTACGAACATGGTTAAGAGGGTGTTGTCTTATTTGTACCTATGGAGATTGAACACTTACTTTTTCCTTGCTAAGCATTTGTCCTCTGATTTTTAACAAATGCCAATGTGACCTCCACCATAATTCTCACTCTTTCTTCCATTATTGACTAGAATCCTTAATTCCATCTAATTTATATAATATTTTACAATTTTGTTTTTGAAAAACTCAGTAACTTTGCCAATACCAATTTTAAGTGAGTTATAAAACAATGCAAATTCTCTCCTAAATGGGAGTGAGACAGTTGCAAGAAGCTGAACCTAGGAAGAAATACGGTCACTTGCTGATAACTACCTATGAGTTTGGTCACATATATAGGTATGCATCTCATAATGTATATTCATATATATTCAGATAAATACACCCTTTCTGGGAGCCCTAAGGCATGAAGAGCTACACTTTAGTATAGTCCACCTCAACTTACAGCATGCCATCAGTTCTCATCTGTTTCTGTTTTGTCTGTTTTCTTCCTTTGTGTCTTTATTTTATGTTTGACACATCCTTAAAACGAATGTGTCTTTGTTCTTTTTTATTGTATATTAATATGGTTATATAAATAGCATCATGCCACGTATCTCCATGTTACTTTCTTTTTTAACTTTCCACTGAAGTTTTATAGCCTATTTGTGTTTCTGAATTGTGAATATTTTGCTCCAAATTATGCATAGTATTTCATATCATATATTGAATACATTTTGTATTTCAGTCCCCTAACTATGGACACCTACCACTGATAGTGACATGGTGAAATCTTCATACTCTTCTCTTTAGAAACCTGAAGAACAGTGGCTTTAGTGAATATGTCTAGGAGAAGAGTTAATGGGTATCTAAATATGCTATTTTCTCTATCAGCCTCCGTTGTGAATTCCAGAATCCTCCAGTCTCTCTTCATACCTTAGCCATCATAGCACCAGAGTTTGGTGCTAGTATAATTCAGCAGGAACTTGCTCCTCATCCCTTCTCTGGACAGAGGCAACAAATAATTTGTGGAGTATGCTCAGTTCTCAGAGATATATATGAAATAAGAGGAGGAATAACTTCATTAAGCTACTTTTGACCATCAGGAGATAGAAACCATAAGAAAAATTCTTCCCGTTCTGAGGTTTATATAGGCTTTTACCTCTATAAGATTTAGTACAGGTTACCAGTATTGGTTGCCAAATTGAAAGCATATCTCCCTATTGCCTTTTCCTTGTTTCAATCCTATAGGTCACCACTCCTGCTAGTTGTTATTTCCTCCAATGAACTAGCTATAGACAAGCTTGCTACTCAGACTGTACTTTCAGAAGCTACTAGTGTTACCCAACACAAGAACTGCCTGATGGCTTTCCAGGGTATCCGCACTGTGATCTGAATAGTTTGGCCAACCTCCAACTTGTAGAGCAGAGACTGGGTAATTTCAAAACTTCAGAGGGACACATTTTAACAACTCTTTGCCTCTGCTTGGAAGGCATACAGCCGTAGTTCCCTGTGCAGATCTGACCTGTGGATCAGGGACTTTTCTTTTTATACTTACTTCAGTTATCTTCAAAATATGGTTGCAATATACATGCCATGCCCGTTATGCTCTTCCCCAGGACATTTTTCTCTCCCTCTCATAGGTCATGACTTCTGATACATAGACAATGTGTTTTATTATAGAAGTGCTGATAGGTCATGACTTCTGATACATAGACAATGTGTTTTATTATAGAAGTACTGTAACATGGTCCTGGAAAGCATGGCTTCTCAGTACATATTAATATAGAAACATGGTGTGACTCATATTTTTCAGTGAAGGATGTTGCATACCTAAAGTCATCTTACGCTCTAAAATATGCATTTGTCCTATCACACTATCACACTTGGGATGGCTTAAAGAGAAAAATGAGCATGTGAACACTAATGCTTTGATGCATGTGGCAGCTCACTCTGCCTTCCTTACAGTCTGCTCCAGAGCCAGCCTTTTAGCTACTACAATAGACCTCCTCTTTTTCTTTTTGAATGGTCTTCCTTTAAAAGGAAAGTAACAGATACACATCTTCATGAAACAAAGCACAAACCATGACCACTTGGGAGCAGGGAATGAGAGACACTTCCTTTAGGGAGTGACAGTGCTTCTCGTTTGGGAACAACTTTTAAAATCTCATCTATCTCTTCTGCTTTTGTTGTGTGAACAGGTGGTCAATACATATACTCCAGGAAAGAAGATTTGGCTGGAAGGCGTGGTGACCACCTCAGCTGGAGGCACAAACAATCTGTCAGATTCCTATGCTGCAGGATTCCTGTAAGTTATTTACATTTTTACTCCTAGTAACTTTCAGGAAAAGACAGTGAAACTACAACCCACTCACTACCCATGGCAAGGCAAAGCTCATTTCCAATTTTATCATCTATTCATTTGTAGATGTATTTAACAACTTTACAAACAGTAGTTAGTCCCTTCTCCAGCTACTAACATGTCATCAGACATAAGCATCAGAGCATAGATGACATCTTGAATTAAGTTCAAACCACAGAGTCAACACCATTCTTTCTCCCGTCTGCATTTTACCATAGTTGTGGGAGTTAGGTAGCAACAAGCATTGTTTTGTCCTCCAGAAACATGACTACAGAGCCTAGTATGAGAGATAACTATATTGCAAAGAATAATTCTGCTGTAATTAGTCTTTGAAGAATACCGGATCTACCAGGTGCCAAGGACTGTCTGAAATGCTTTGATAGTTTGTCAACCAGTGAGATCGATGCTACTGTCTCTGTTGTGAGCCAATGAAGCAGAAGCTAATATTGTCCTCACATTACAGTCAAAGAAGCTGAAGGGCAGAGTTGAAGTAAGTTAGCCCCGGTAACTCATTTAGCTGGTGGCAGAGATCAGACTCAAGCCAGACAGCCTGCTCCAGAGTCCAGCCTTTTCATCACTACAGTAAACAGCTGCTCTTTCTGTCTCCTACAACCTTGCTATGAAAGAAAAGTGATGGGCTTGCAAAGGAATAAAGAATTTCCCTGAGTGGGATTATCAGGAAGAAAGGTGGCATTTGTGTGGGACATGGGAAAGTGTTCTGGTTTGTGGGTGAAGAGTGGTAGAACTGACTGTGTGATGCCTCGGTCTGAAGAAACGTTCCTGGAAAGGCATAGCAGAGGGCAGAATACAGCCTTGCTTCATTCAGTAGGGTTGGAATGAAGGCTGAGACTATGAATAGAGTTTACACCAATGCATGGAGGGCCTTGAAAACTATTTAAAGAAAAGGAGGCCTTGTTCTGGGCTCATACCAAGGCACTAAAGACTTCATAGATGAGAGAGATAATCTGACAAGCATTTTAAAATTTAGACCCTGTCAATGTTGTGCACAGGATCTTGGAAGGGATGAGAAAATGAACTTGAAGACTACAGTAGTTGCCTGGAGAATGACTTGAGCCAAAAGCATAGAGCTCTGCTTGGCTTTCCAGTGTGGTGTAGCCAGGACAAACCAAAGCCCTCACAACCAGAAACTAACCAAATTATTTTTTCTGGTCCATGTGGCCCTTTAGCCCTGGCTTTCTGGCTGAGTAATACATGAACTGTGGTTTTACCCTCAGCTATGTGTTTTGCTACCAACAGCTGTTCCTAATTAGACAGATGCAGTTCCGTTCCATTGAGACAGCTTCTCTCATACATTTGTGAAGAATAGATCAGGCTGCCCAAGCAGATGGCATTTGCAGATGGAATCATGTCAGTGTACATGAAGATATCTTCTCAGTGCAACTCCTGGTGTGACTCTGGTCTTCTTTGTTTGTAACCTCAGCATCTAACATTGGGTTTCCAGAGACGTCCAATAAACATGGTTGAAATAGATGAAATGAAGTGAATCAGCATTTAATGCAACCCTGCTAAGAGCCTTCTTTCATAATTTACTACCCACTAGTTTGATTGGAATCCTGTTGCAAGAGGGAAAAGCCAGGTTGGCAGTCAGTACTAAGGAGACCCCTTGGAATCAGCTCAGGAATGGCTTTGCCTCAGCCGTAGCTAAACAATTCTGCTTTGACATCCAGCAAGCAGTACACGGTTGTTCTGAGTTTTCCTGAGCACTCTTCCTTTTAAGGAATGGTGTGAAATAAAAAGTACCATAGATCTTCATGAAGGCAGCTGAAACAGAGACCTCTCTTTGCATGAGCATCAGCCAGACAACCACAGAGCTCTACAGGGATTTTGCAGATGAACCTAGTTTTCAATAGTTGGGCTGTAGTTCAGATCATCAGTGCTTGGTTGACAGAGATCGGAAAAATCTAGTTCATTCTTCTCCTGGTCTTCTTTTTCACCTCCTTGTCGTCCATCCTATGTTAACTCCACAGGCAACACATAGCAATGTGCTGTGTTTGTGAAGGGATATCAGTTGCTTCCTAGAAAAATGATACAGGTGTAGCATTCTAAGAAGCCCAAGAAGCTAGCAAGCATGCAAATGTGTGGCATTTTCCTAGGACTTTTCCAACATGTCACAGATGTAGAAAGCTCCTAGGGCATGTGCAAATGTGTGCATGAATCAGAATTCTCTGCTAATGGGGACTGAGGATATTGCTATTCGATAGTCCTGAAATTCTTTGGAATACTGCAAATTCATCTTGATAGACTGCTGTGTCTCTAGCATCTATGGGCATAAAGTAATAAATAGTAGGTGTTCAATAAACACTTATGAAATGGGAGAATGGCTACTGAACAAGTGAGCAATGGGATCATACACAAAGCACGAAAAGACTGTCCTGTGTTGCTATGAAAGATGCTGTTGGTGGAGGGACTCGTGCATATGTGATTACGTATTTTCTCGGATTTTATTTCTTCTAGAAATGAAGCTCCGTGTTTGCGTCTATAGATAAATATTAAATATAGATCATGATGTATTTGTACTTTTGAACATGGCAAGAGCTCTGATTTAAGAGGCTTTTACCCAGAGTCCGTGTTACAGCTCCAGCACAGTGCATCCTTCGATAATCTGTTTGCTACTGTGCCTCAGAACCAGAGCAAGAGCTGAACCTATTATCCTGGTCTCACAGGCTTGCCAAACTAATGAAAATAATAAAAACAAGTAGCTTTGCCATGTGATGTTCCCAAAGTCATTTCGATTCTCTGGGTCACAGTGTCCTAGTGTGACAAAACTAACGCAACAAAGGTTCTGCTGTATTGTACACAGACTTTCCTTTATTTAAAACTTGCTTTTGTGTTTTTCTTTGCTTTGGGATTTGGTTTTGTAAATCTAATTGTCAGTAAATGTGTTCATTTTTATGAGAATAAAATTGTAAATGTAAAAAAAGATTTGAGAATGTGAACATTATTTATTCATAATATAAGAATTAGAAATGCTCTTTATTCCAGCAAGGAAAAAAACTTAATTCTAGAAGTCATGGGTTTGGAGCCCCATATGGTTTCAGATTTGGGAAATCATAACTATGCGTAATTTTTCCCATGTGCTGAATGGTGATTTCCAAAGTTTCTAGATTCTAATTTTATCCAGATAAATGTCAGCCTAAGCAGTGCTGTGTACCTACAACATGCCAGGAACTGTATTGGGTGTTCTGAGTCTAAGCTCAGATTCTGTGTGATTGAGGACCTGTAACTAACGGGAAGAGACAGATGGATGTTCACCATCCACCGTGCTGGCAGAGGGCATAGACAAAAAGAGTTCTGTGAAGGCAGAAGGTGATGCTGCTGACCAGGATGGCAGAGTTTAGAAAAGAACACTTGATCTGGAGGTTAATATGATAAGAATTTGCCAAGTGGAAGGAAATGAGTTAGAGGAGAGTAGGTAGGAAATGCGAAGCAGGAGTTAAAACACGTATGAAGACTTGGGTCAGTACTGGAGAGCATGCTCTATTAGCTACTCAAAAGTGGTTTTGTGCAACAGGCCTGCGGAGAATGAAGTTTGAGGTAAGAGCAAAGATGAGGTGATATTTCAGCAGTGGCAACACAGAGAGGAAAAAACAATAAATGTCTAAAGTGATGAAAGAATTAAACGTGTTGATATCAAAGGCAGAGTCAGAGTGGAGTTCAGGAAGAATCTAGGCATCAGGCTTTTTTAAAGAATAGCATGTTGTGTAAACTAGGTATTTTGTATAGTCAGGCATAAATAAGTGCATGGTCAATGCAGGCTTACTAAGGTAACATGCTCTAATCTGTGAATGATTTATTGTGGCGTTGAGGAAAGCATCATTGCATTGACCGGGACAGTGATATATGAGGGAACCAAGTGACAAGGTGGTTTTGCATTGGTCATAGCCTGTGTAGGTTAGAATCCTATGGAAAGTGGGTGTGGTGTTACAGAGTGGAGAGACTGAGGATGCAAGACGCACTGTGAAATGCTGTGATTGCATGTCTGTGGTCAGGGACGACACATTAGGCCTATAAGTGGTCACAGTATTTATTTGTTAGTATTCCACAATTAAAATATGCCATAAGCTGTGATAAATTTATGACCATGAGCAATTCATTTTATTCCCTCAGACTTCGGTTTCTTTTCCTGTGAAATAAAGTGTTTAGATCTGAGAATCTTTGAGACCTCTTACAAATTCATGTTCAGCACCAAAAGTGATTTTCTCTTCTAAAGCACCAAATAAATTTGGTGGTGCCTGGGGGAGGGGGCAGTGTTTATTTGTGTATTGTAGATATGTATGTTCAGTTATTGTAAAATGCCATTTTAAACGTGCTGATGTGTTTCTTTTTCTTTTTTTTTTTTTTAGATGGCTAAACACTTTAGGAATGCTGGCCAATCAGGGCATTGATGTTGTGATACGACACTCATTTTTCGACCATGGATACAACCATCTGGTAGACCAGAATTTTAACCCATTACCAGTAAGTAAGCTGAATAAAGATTCCCAATTCCTTTCCATATCATTTGGTTCTTTTGATCAGGTCTTTTTCCACACTAGGAGAATTTTTCTCCTTCTGCTATTGGCAGTCTCTTTCATAAATCAGACATAGCATTCTTGTCTTTGATTTCATGAACTATTCCATGGGCTTTGGATTCACCGACTCCCACACACACACCTACACACACACACACACACACACACACACACACACACACACTTATATGTGTATAATGTATAAGTTCATTACTATTACTTCAGCAAACTTTGTGCAATTGAGATTCCGCATCTCCTTGTGGCCTGTTTGAACTCTGCTTGAGAGTGGATTTTTCCAGATTGTTTTCTTTTAATGCTAATAGGAGACATTAGTTAATGTCAGATGCAGCATGTTGAAAGCAGATGAGGGTGTTCTAAGATCAGATACAGTGGGAGCCCATCTCTTAACACTAAAGTGCACTTGGAGTTAGATGTTGACCCCTAAGTGATGGTGAAGAGATTTGTCCCAAGTAGAGAGTTCTAAGTGACCTGCTGCATAATCATCAGAGAAATCTTAATTAGCCCAAAAAAGCTGGGTTTTGTCTTTTTGTTGTTTTGTAGTTGTTGTTTTGTTTTTACTTTGCTTTGTTTGGTTTGGTTTTTAGAAATATCACACAGATGATTCTTTTACATGACTGTCGTATGATATTATATTATATCATGCACGGTCCTGATGGAAGATCAGACTCTTCTCCCCATAACTGCTGTTGTCCTTAGAGATGCCCTGTCTCCTTTGACAAGGTCACTGAGGGTGAGACAGGGAACGGAGAATGTAATGCCATCTCCAGATCCAGATCTGTGCCTTAAATTACTGTTGCCTTGAGAGTCCTGGAAATAAAGACATCCTGAACAGTTCCTGCCATTTGCTACCTTTACCTATTTCTACCCTACTGCTTCTACCTTCCAAACCTCAAGTCACGAGGCCTTCAAGCCCAGAACAAGGAATAGTGTGGCCCACAGGAGTATCATTCCCAAGTCTCAAAATTGAAACCAATTGGCACAATCGTTTACTCACAAGACAAGAATAAGCCTCAAAGTGTGTATGCAAGACTGAGGTATGAAGGACTGGGGAGAGAGTTTTCCATTTAGAACCACAGAGATTTGTTTTGTTTTCTTTTATCTGTGAAAACAAGACAAAATAATTGGAAAACTACATTCGAGGTGTAAATATTAAACAAACATAGAGCACATCATCTATTTGAAATAAATATTATTAAATGTTTTTGAGCAGCAGGAGTTAGGGAGGAAGCAACCATGAATACATAAATATTAGAATGCAGGATCACGGATGTATGTGCAGGAGGGGCGTTTCTGAGCATATGACACACACGCGGAGAGTCAGCTAGTGGTAAGAAGCCAGATATGCAGACTGTACACAGCTTTCTAAGCAGAGCAGAGGCTAACACTGCAGAAGCGCGAGATGGCCAGTACCTGAGACACAGAAGGAGGGGGTACCCATAGAAATGAAGTAGGCAGGAGTGAGATTGCTCAAGGCAACAGGACTGTTATCATAGCAGCAAGAAAACCGCTGGAGAGCTTTAACCAGGGAGGTCATGATAACTCTCACTCTGACATAGGCAACAAGTACCATTTTCAGCAATGCAGTTAATAATTACCAGTCCACAGGCGCACGGTGCTCTTTTATTTGGTGAATCAGCAAAACGGAAGTCCTCCTTTTTGTCCTCTTTCCTTCCTTCAAATTTCATTCACTCATCTTTATCATGTCTTATTTGTTTATTGATAATTCCTGGCAGTGGATCTCCGGTGAACCAAAATGATCAAGTCCCTGTACAGTGTGGAGAGAAGTAAAAAATTAATATATAAGATAATTGTAGTCTATCACAACTGCTCTAAATAAAGACTGCTGTAAATAAAGCCTGCTGAGGTAAATATGGCTTTATTAATTTTCCTGAAAAAAAAATAAAGTTCTAAGAATAAGTGGATGCCCAAGGTCAGAGAAGTCACAGTCGCTGGGACTCCCTGGGTTTTCTAGCTCTAAATCCTATTTTCTCTTTACTGTGCCATGTTATTTCCCATGGTGCTAATGTAGGTGTCCTTGCTGTGGCCTGAGGCAAATTCTGCCTTTGACTTGAGAAACAGGAGAGAAGGAAGCAAGCTAGAGAAAGATGGGTCCATAAACACATTAAAGACATAAACCTTCATAGCTTTATTCCCCACAAGTAAGAGTAACTGTCGGTGGCTTTCTTTAGAAATGTCACCCAAAAGTCCTCAGTTGATACCCAGTGGCCCCAGAGCTCTCGTGGCCTTTAAGATGCTAAAACAAGTTCCATGGATGTGGCGCAGAGACCCAAGTGAGCAGGGCAGCTACGTTTCTGGGAACATCAAACTCTATTAAAGAAATCACATGTAAAAGCACTTAAAAAGGTATCCATCTTTCCTTTTTATCTTTCCTCATGGTGAAAATTCTACACCTTATAAGTAGGAAATTTGGCAGCTGAGAGAGTCTGCCCTAAGTCCCCCTGGGAAGAATTTACAAGGCCAGGTCTGAGACACTGCTGCCTGGCAAGATGGGCGATGGAGCTAGACCTGGGGGTCACACTGATTGCCATGTCGGGGGATGTGGACCTGATAACGAGCATTGCCAATAAAGGCTTGTGGATTTTACATTGTGGTTACAGCTTCAGAAGAGTTTGTTAAGAGATTAGAGGATTCGTACACTGAGCTTTTAGTTTGTCTCCCAGAAAAATAAAGTATTTTCTCTTCGTATTCCTTCAAACCTAGCTTAGTGTATTTCAGGAAAGAATCCTATTAGCAAATTCTTTTCTGTTTCTGCTGGATTCTTGAGTAAATCCAGAAACTGTGAGTCCCTGTGCCTCAGGGCTCCTCAGGCCATATTCAGTTCCTAGTTAGCTTTGCTGCATGCGTTCCAACCCAGCTCTGATGGGGCCATTCCAATAGCACCAGTCAAAGGACAAGATGACACTTTAAAAGTGCTTTTGAGGAGTTAGGGTGAGGGGAAAATGGTACAGAATATGTTTAGGATGGGGAAACTGTTCTGGACATCATCAAATAGTGGTACTTTATATGTTGATCCCAAACCACAGGATGGACACCATAGGTAAATCCTACTGTAAAATGTGGACTTTCTGTATCACTGATAGAAGGTGACCAACTGTAAAGTCACCACTCTGATGAGAGCTACTGATAACGAAAGAGACGGCGCACATGTGAGGACACAATGCATGGGGCATCTCTGGGCCTTCTAATAAGTTTCCCATTGGATCTGAAGACTTCTCTTTTATAAAGAGGCTCTAAGACGTAGGATGAGACAGATGGGAAGGGATGGGGGAAGGGAGAGAATGAGGAAGGGTTCTGTGTCCCCTATTCTGTTCAGGAAATAACTTTCCAATGCTCCATTCCTTGTTTCCTCATGGTTTTCCTGCTAGAAAAGTGCCATCTTCCTCCTGCTGTGTGGCTGTCATCCTCCTGAGAGAAGGAGCACATTTTAGTTCAGCCATGCATTGTCATCACTCCCACCCTTTCCGCTGATGGGCCTGCCATTGGGAAAGAGGGGACATGTGAGTCTCCACAGCCAGGCAATCAGTCGTGGGCTCCCTTGGGAGTAGATGATGTTTGTGCAGAAGAGATCTGCACATTCAGCGGACAGAATCCAGACCCCACCAACCCTGGGCACTTCTCCTCAGAGAGGGTTTTGGAATTCAGCTTATTCCTTTTTTTCAGAGTGTGATTTACAGAGCTTTCAGGAAGAGGAATGGGAAATTACTAGTCTGCATCTTCCTAACTCCCACGCTAGGACAGCAAAAGGAGTCTTCACACAAATATAATTCAAAAGAGGGGGGAGGGATGAGTGAGGGAGAGAGAGACAGAGAGGGGGAGGAAGGGAAGGAAGGAGGGAAGGAAGGAAAGAAAGAAGGAAGGAAGGAAGGACACTGAGCTCACGATCATGTAGATATACAGATGAGATATGGTCCTCCATCTGCAGAGCCAATAACCCACTGTGTGTTTGTAAGAGTGCAGGTCAGTCCTGATTAGGACTACTTTATATATAAAGAGCTACATCATGTTGTCTTAGCATGTCTACTCTGGGCATAGTGGTCTAGCTATGGGCACTTGGTACTCATTTTTTGCTTACTGTGCTTGATTAGTAACAACAAATATTCAACAGCCATGTACATATCTGTTGACCACCCTCTGTGTACATCGTTCTAGAATACACTCATCAGTCATATATTGGAGCACAGGGCAGTAGTCTGTAGTGACAGGCCACCTATGGTTGCAGTCACCATAACAACATATTCGGAGTCAAGCCATCACTGTCCTTTTGGAAAGGAGCCCTGCCTTTTACCATTGCCAGCCTGGCTTACTTAATTAACTTATCTACCACAAAATTCTAGGACAAGTTGTTAAATATCCTGTCTCTTTTTACCTTCAAGATGTCCCTTAGAGATGGTACCACTTATACACAGCATAGATGAGATATGGACACAGGATGAGCTTAATGCACCCTTCCTTCAGAAGGAACGCTGAATTATAAACCCATACCAGTGTTACTGGATTAACTGAGACTTGCACAATCCAAGGAGGCATCACAAGGAGCAACAGAGCCTAGAACTGTGACAAGATTTATGGGTCCTAGCTCTACCATCAGGTGTGTGTGTGTGTGTGTGTGTGTGTGTGTGTGTGTGTGTGTGTGTGTGTGTGTGTTTGGGTTCTGGTTTCCCACTGATTGAATCGAATTAAGGATAAAACTGTCCCCCTTATACCTTCAAATTCATTGTCAGTGTACTTAAGAAACTTATTTAAAGCATAAGATTTTGATTTTGCATTTATATGTAAGTATGGAAAATTATTGGATGAGACTATATCCTAGGGTAAGGAAATTACAGGCACATTTTTTTCTCCTTTGTGTACCTTTTGTTTGTAAAGTTGTTTGCAATCAATATTTTGTAATCTGAAAAAGGAGAT